ATATGCGGAAGTGATAGGGGGCAAATTCGATAACGCGAGGAAAAATAAAATGCAGCACTGCAGTGCCATCCTAAAAATGCCGAAACTGATGCGAGACTCTCCAGAAAATCTAGGAGACCCTTGAGCGTGAAGCGACTCGCATCTTTACCATACATGCCGGATGACGCGACCATCATCCAGACAATAGTGATATACAGCAGCCACCATAAAATAGTGCCGTAATATAAATTTTTGGCCATCGTAAATTGTACCATAATTTAAGTAACTTCATTAGGCTTAATACCGTTGCAGTTTAGGATCAAGGTCTTCTCGGAAGGCAAGCTCGACTGATTGGGAAAGTCGGGTTCAATGAACAAAGCACTCTCGGAGATATTTAAGCACTCATTCGACACGATTCTACAGTTATTTTCTAACAGTTCTATCAGTCTTCCTCGATATTCCTGCCTACCAGTTCAATTCCTTTATAGTGAACGTGAATAAGTTTCATGACAAGCAAATCTCGTGATTAGTCAATCACGCATTAGTCAATCACGAAACTTACGCCAAAGTCCAAGAGAATACAGTTTTAACTATTCTTACCAACATAACTGTCCGTAAGGAAAGCGGACCGAACGGAGACAACCTTCGTAACCGCGAATCCACGTCTGAACAACATATGACCGTTCAAAATTTTCCACACTCACTCTTTCATAGTATTATATATCGATAATATATCGATTTTATGATCTTATATTAATCTACGCTTCGCGGGTTTCATAACAGATACAATCTTTTTGTACGTCAACGTCATCGAACATTACTTAGCCGTAAGTGTTATGGAGTATTAGTGGATAGAATAAAGTTTTCATACGATAATTCAAATCTTCCTCGTTCATTCTATCAGTATATGATATCAATTTTATTGTCTTATATTATTCTACGCATCGGGGCAATGAATATTTATTCTTATGTACAAAAGTACCATCTAAAACAATTTACAGTGCCTGAAACGTTACGGATTTCCAGTATGTGGAATGAGGTTTACACATGCCC